TGTGAATCCCGATTGCAATGGGAAGAGGGTGTAGTAGAACATTTCAAGTGGGTGGCTTTGGATTTAGTCTTTCTTGCTTTGAAATGCATTTTGTCTTAGAGAAACTTACTCAACCTTTCAACTCCTTACTTTGTTCATCTGTTTGGGGATAATAATAATATAGAACTGGCAGGGTTGTTGTTTTAGCTGAGGGGATTCATCAAAGCAATGTGAATAGTGCCTGAGACATAGTAAGTCTCCAAGAAACCTAACCTATTTGAGTGATGAGGAGATCATTTTATCAATAAATATTTATTAAGTACTGTCTATATTGCTGGATTCCTGAAATACAATGCTGACTGCTAAGCTTTGATCCCCACCTTCAGGGGTCTTACAAGATAATGTAATTTAAAGTCAGTAGCTAAGACCCTCTCTGGTGTTACAAATGCTATGCTACTTAATAAAAAACAGGGTTCTGGATAACATATAACCTACCTGCAGAGAAGACTGGGAAACAGGTACAATCACAAGACATACTTTGGGAGCACAAATTCTCTTTGCCATGGTAAGTCCATTTGGTCACTAAATATCCTGATTCTCTCTTCCCTTAGGTATGAAATATACTGACCTTCCCACGGGACACAATCCAAGTTCAACCCCAGTCAGTGCTCTGGTCCAATCAGAAGAAAGAAACCACATAGTGATTTGACCAGGGAAACTTTAATATAAAGAACTACTATCTATAATAGAAGTTTAGAGTAATCAGGGATTAGCAAGTTAGAAGTCAAGAGAACTATAAAGCATATAGGGACAGCAGATAGAAGGAGCAGTCACATCTGTAGGGCTGAGATAGCATCCCCAAGGAAGAGTCTTATCCAGTGTCCACTCCCCCCTCCCTAGCATCCAGAGCTGAGATTCAGCCTGAGTGGGGATGCCATTGTGTGACTCCGCGAAGGCAGAGAAGCCACGGTGATGTCATACCGGGAGGATTTGCTAGGAATCTACCCTCTGGAACTTGCTGGAAAAGTTCCCTCTAGGAAATCTATTCTCAAAGAGGCATCTCACAGGTGGGTGCTCTACTAAGAAACACTCACAGAGAGGATGCCAAGCAAGCTGCTGGCTGCCAGGAGCTACTGGCCTCCATGCACTGCAGGAGCCTGACCATGGTGAAGCCTCACACACCATAGGAGTGTGCCCAGGGAACACACTAGAAGCAAGGAACAAATCCTTTTCCCTCCTAGAATCTCATGAGCAGCATTGATGCAGCTGGCATAGAGTAAATAGTTAAGAGTCCAGATTCGTTTTTACCAGTCGCAAAGTTTGGATTTGGAGCTCAGAGGCAGTGGGTTGATAAGTGGCACAAGCATCCAACACAAACCAAAAGATACACAGAATTCTCTCCATTAGGCAGAAGGGTTGGCTCTGAGTCCAGGGAATTGTAAACTAAGATGTTACTTACCTTCCTCATGCCAGTAAGCATGCCTGGCATATCTTAAGAGACATAGGTTTTAGAGTGTTATTTTACTTTTCATATTTGCCCTTACTCCTCCCTCTCAACTTGATTAAAACCAACTCTCAGATTCAATTTGGCCTTCGCTCCAAATCACTCTATCTTACTGAGAGGTTATTCTGGACATTTGTCATTCAAGGAATCTTCTAGTACCTCCTCTTATGTTTGGACTTCAGAAGCAATTAGAGCTTCCAACCATACAAGACCCCAAATTTCCAGGCTCTTTCTATTTCATTCCAGTTCATTTCTGCTTGTAAATAGGCTGATTCTTTATTGAGCCCACCTCTTTCTTGTAATACCTTCCTAAATCCAGAGTAGTAGCTAGCATATCAGTAATAACGGTTCTCACTGTTTTCATTGTTAGACATGGTTCCTCTTTTTATCCTCCAGTCCCAGGCTCTTCCTAGCTCACTGCTCTACCATATCCGATGTCACATACACGAGGTTGATGTAATGTCAGTGCATCCTTTGGGGGGCCAGTTTTTACTTTGGTCAGGGTAATTAATGTTGGCTATGGCAGCACACCCTCCCTAAAACCTCAGCGGCTTGACAGAATAGATTATTTCTCATTTAATCCAAGTCTGGTATAAAGCAAACAGCCGGCTTGTATCTTCAAGCTACACTTCTGGGACACACTACATTCAATATCAACATGGTAGGAGAGAAGAAAACAGTGTGTCAAAAAGGGCTTCTCAAAATAAAGAGAGGGCAAGTATGTTCTAACATGAAGGATCAGCATGTGCAGAGAAAGCATGATGCCACTTTGGAAATATACAAGGGACTAACTCAAAATCTCTCTTCATGACGAAGAGATGTATCCCAAGATATCATTAGATTGGACTTCTCTTTCTCAGGGCTTTGGAAATGTTGAAGTCACATGGAGATCATGGCAGGACTGAAATATGAAGCCACAGGGATGCATTATTTGAAAGCTTCCAATAATATGTACCTATGTATGTAATCAGAATATTTTTTTAAGATTTTATTTATTTATTTGACAGAGAGAGAAAGAGCACAAGCACGGGGAGCTGCAAAGGGAGAGAGAGAGAAACAGGCTCCTCGCTGAGCAGGGAGCCTGACATGGGACTCGATCCCAGGACCCTGGGATCATGACCTGAGCCAAAGGCAGACACTTAACCAACTGAGCCACCCAGGTGCCCCTGTGATCAGAATATTTTTTAATGTCTTCATTTTCGGAGATGAATGTATGTTTCACATTACTTAGGAAATAGGTATAATTTCTAATGGACTCACCAATCCTGCTTTCAGGATTTGTTCTAACGGCAATTATTATGAACCACTAAATAGGGTGATGTATAAGTTATTGACCAAACTCACACTTTTGTGAGTGAAAGGTGCTCCATAAATGTTTACACTGGGACAAAAGTGTAACCTGGTTCTGTCCTAGACCAACAGGGATTATGGCATCATGAAATTTCTATGTTAGCATCATGAAATGTGTCACATCACCATTTATAGTGTAAAAGTAAGTAAATAAGAGTAACAAACAAATAAACAGGTATTAAATTTCTCACATAAAGTGATGACATTATAAGAAGCTGATAAAGTGATGTTATAAATAAAATATGTAGTACCATGGAAAGGGTTCACGACATATCAAGATGTGAAAAAAATAGTTTAAAAATCTATTTTCAGGGACACCTGGGTAGCTCAGTCGTTTAAAGGCCTTAGGCTCAGGTCACTATCCCAGAGTCCTGGGACTGAGCCCCACATTGGGATCCCTGCTTAGTGAGGAGCCTGCTTCTCCCTCTTTCATTGCAGCTCTCCTTGCTTGTGCTCTGTTGCTCTCTCAAATACGTAAAATCTTTAAAAAATTATTTTTCTATTCAGAGCATGGGGAAAAAATAATGAAAAACTGCCACAGTTTATTAAGTGTTTAATTCAAATGGATGAGTGGCAGAATGATATATACGTGTATATGTATTCATACATATATAAAATATATTTTTCTTTTATACATCAAATACACATATTTCTTCTTTTTTTTTGTTTTTTACTTATCATATTCTCTAGCTTGATTCATTCTTACCAGTCAGCAGTCAAGAGAGTCTGCACTTTAAAAAGTTATGTTTGGATCTCACCAACGTTTTTACAAGTGGATTCAGCTGAAGGGCAGCTCAGAGTCAAAGAATAATAATTCTTCCCAAATGTATAGCACTTTCACGTTAAAGTGCTTTCATATGCATTACCTGATTTGATCTACTCAGCAGGAGACAGGCATTATAATTCTCATTTTACAGTTTCAGAACCAGAATTTCTGAAAGATTAACTTAATTGCCCAAAGTCAAACAGATATTTTGAGGCAAAAATTGGAATTATAACTCACATCTCCCAACTCTGAGTTCAAATTTCTTTGAAAAGGAGCCTGTTAGGATCTTTCTGGGTAGCTAGTTGTGACCCCAAATTTTATTATGGACAATGCTAAGGGGCCACTCTTTATTTGGTGGGAAAGGACCTCTTGAAAATCTGTCTTCAAACAAGTGATGTCTTTAGCAGACTTGCTCTGGCCTGATGAAAAGAAAGTTAAAACACTGAAATTAATAAAAATTTAAACTCCATTCTCATGATCTGAATATTTCAGTGAATTTTAGAGATATAACATCGAATATTTTCTTTTTTCTTCATCAAATTTATTATTTATTATTCAGTCCTCGGGAACTTCTTGAGGATATGAGCAATACTCTCTACAGGACTCAAATTTAGCCAGGGGATACTGAATTAATCAGCTATAAACACGGAGATCTCCCATTGCTGTTTCTTTGGAAATTAAATGCTAAATTTGAGAAAGGTGATAGGGTGAAGTTAATGGGGTAAATCCCTAATATATGTTTTCCTTTGCTTACTCCAATGAATAGGAACTGCCCGGTTCCTGTTGACCATGCATTTTGTTGAGTTTGAGCAATCACTTAACTTCATATTTTAGTAATTGCTTTGAGTAATCAGAGAACCGACGAATAGCCACTCACATCCATATAATTTCTCGTTCTGAAACCTGACAACATTGTCTTACAGACCAGTCTCAGTTTATATTGTTAATGTTTAATATTTACTATGCCTTAAAAATTGACATCAGATATACAATCTATTATTTTCAGATTTTTTGTCAGATAATTCACAGTTTATGTTATTCTGAGACTCAGTCATTTGTAGATTAGTTGCAGAAATCAAAAGTGGTTATCTGGCCATGTATTCAGGTAGGAAGGAAGAGGTCTTGGTGAGCTAATTCCAGGGAAGACTTTTTAAATTGATTTATTTTAATTTTTTTGACATTTTCTTGTAATTTCATTTGCAGGTGGTAAACAAATAATAGATTAATAATTAATAATAGATTTTGTTTTACAACCTCAAAGGAAGGAAATGTGGATGCAGTAGTCAAAAGGGTGTAGATACTGAGTAGGATCCATAGTTCAAGTCCTAGTTTCACCATTTAGCAGCTGAATGACCTAGGACAAGTTAATTTTAATGTTTCTTATTTTATTTCCTCCTCTAGAAAATATCTAACATGCAGGATGGTGAGGATTATATGAAATAACATACACAGAATGTCTGACAAAAAGTAGGTATGTATTTTTCCCTCTTTATGTTTTATGTTAAAAATATAGTATTTGATTTGCTATATCTGATGATAATGGGCTTTAGGGGAAATCTGTAATTATCTAGTTTAGCCTAAATTTTTCTCTTTATGAGCCACTTACATGATTTTTCCCATTAGCATGATGTTAATTTTGACATTTGCCTCAAAGGATGAAATAAAGTCTTTTAGTTCCACAACTTGGTGGAATACACTAGTGTGAAAATAACCAGAGTGACAGTAACAAGAAGAGAATTAAGTTTCATGAGAATGAGCATGTGTCATGACACTGTAGCATGTTAAGGTGGGGGAAATAAGAGGTTGACTTAGATCAAACAACACAAAATAGAAACCCACAGGATATGATTTAAATTACTAAAGAGATTAAATAAATGAATAAAGATGTAGAAAACATGAAGGTAAGTAGAGAACAATACTTTTAAATGGCATATTTGAAAACAGAATATAGAATTTCAAAAAATCAAATATAGTTATTCAAATTAAAATTTAAATAGACATTTAGAAGAAAAATCTAGACATAGCTGAATCAAGAGATGGTAACTAAGAAAATAGATCTAAGGACTGTAATATCAGAAGGAAAAATACATGAAAACTATGGAAGATAGCTTAAAACCGCAAAAAGTTGGCATTCATATCACTCATGAAATGTGTCTGTTCTTTAACTGCTCTACTGACACATATAGGGTTACGTTTCCTGGTACTTTATGCATGGGTTGGTTTGCATGATGTGCTCTGGCCAATGAGTAACAAGTGGGTATTTCTTCTCAAGCAAACATGTAATTCTTAGAGTATTCTTTTCTCTCTAAATGGTAACAAGTTTCCTTAGCTTGTGACTCTGAGTAACTACAATGAGCAGAGTATCTTTGATGAATCTAAAATTAACATCTAACATGAGAAAGAAATACATGAGCTACTTCTTGGATGGTTTGGACCACTGATATTTTGAGAACATTTGTTACACCAATGTAATTTAGGCTATGGATTAGCAAACTGAGACCTAAGGGCCTGTCACCCCTTTTTGTAAATAAAATGTCATTGGAACACAGCTAAACTCATTCATTTAGGTGATATCTATCTCTTGTGTGCTGTGGCAGCAGAGTTGAAAAGTTGTGACAGGTATTTTATTATATGGTGCACAAAGCCTAAAATATCTGTCCCTTTAAGAAAATGTTTGCTGACCTAGCCTAAACTCTCTGGTAAAAATATGGAGAGAACAAAAATTAGCAAATATCATGTACAAGTCTTAACTAATGATAATTTAGAAGAAAAGGCAAAGAAATATCAGAGATATAAAGTCTTAACTAATGATAATTTAGAAGAAAAGGCAAAGAAATATCAGAGATATAAAAGCAGAGTATTTTCATAGATTAAAAATTAAAAATATGATAATCCATTAAGAATTATGTTTCCCCCCCAAAAAAAAATTGTTTCCCTTAAGATAAAGTTGGTCTTAGCAGACCAATACTGGTTCCTGCTGGAAAAACTTAGAAAGTCAAGATGAAATTTAAATATATAAATATGTAAATAAATATATGTGTATATAAATATATAGACACATACTTGCATATATATACACTTCCCCCATGTGCAAATATATATATAATATATATCTATTAATTTTTTAAGGCATTAGATGCTTGCCAAGAAAACAAGACTCAAAGGGCCAAAAGAGCTAGAATCCAGGAAAAAGAGAATCATAGACAGAAATGCCCAATTCTGTAACAGCTTCATCCTACAAGGGTTTTGCAAATTTCTGGTGACAAGTCAGGCAGAAGACCACTGTTAAGACATAAAGAAACTGAGGAATATTTTAGAACATATAGGAATAGAGAAAGCAAATGTATTTTGAACCGTCAAATAACCCAGGACCTGGGTAGCCATGATTCTATTGAGGAAGTAGACTCAGAGTAGTAATGAGTAACGCCAACATTTTGTTGGTGTCCCCAAGAGGAATTTTCAGTGTGAAAATGTATGATGGTAAATAGCTGTTAAAAAAAAAAAAAAAGCCAAAAGAACATCTTATAACCATCCCTAAGAACTGGTGGACTGAATACCAGGATACCAGGGGTGGGTGAGACCAATAATAACAGTCATGATACTTGCAAAAGAATTAAATAACCTCCTTCTCTGATTAATTTTATCTGTTGCTACTCAATCTGCCTTATAAGGGAGAAGTCTATGCTGGAGAATGATAGACCATGCATAACCTTTCAAATTTATCATGCATGAAAAAAATTTGTCATACATGACATCTAGCTTTCAACCAAAAATGTACAAGAAAAGTAGTATAAAACAGGAGGAAAAAAATGAAAACAAATAATATAGTAGCTGGAGGCCTCTGGGCGGCTCAATAGTTGAGTGTCTGCCTTCGGCTCAGGTCATGATCTAGGGTCCTGGGATCAAGTTCTGCAAAAGGCTCCCCTGAAGGGAGCCTGCTTCTCACTCTGCCTGTTTCTGTCTCTCTCTCTATGTCTCTCATCAATAAATAAATACAATCTTTTTTAAAACTTTAAAAAATAATAATACAGTAGCTGTACAATAAAGTGCTAATTATGGTGCTTTAAATGATTCAGATACTCCAATTAAAAGGCAAAAAACATAAAATCAAAGTAAAAGAAAACACATATAATGCTTACAAGTCTTACTTTTTAAATATGAGAGTATCAAAAATTTCAAGTTAATGAATAAACAACATTCTCGGCAAACACTAATCAAAGGAAAATTGGCTTAAATATATTAATAAATTAGACTCTAAGTGGCACCTGGGTGGCTCAGTCTGTTAAGCATCCAACTTTTCATTTTGGCTTAGGTCGTGATCTCAGGGTTGTAAGATCCAGCCCTGTATCTGCTTCTCCCTCTCCCTCTGTTCCTTCTCCCACTCGCTTGCTCACTCTCTTCACTCTATCTCAAATGAATAAATAAGTAAATTAAATATTTTTAAAAAGTTAGACTCTAAGACAAAAGTATTGTCAGAGAAAATGAGGAAGATTATATAATAACAGAAAGGTTAATCTACCAAGATCATATAAAAATTGTAATTATTTATGTGTCTAATGATATTGTCTTGAAATACATATAATAAAAATAGAAAGACTAAAGTGAGAAATAGGGATCCTTGGGTGGCTCAGCGGTTTAGCTCCTGCCTTTGGCCCCGGGGGCCTGATCCTGGAGTTTCAGGGTCGAGTCCCACATCAGGCTCACTGCATGGGGTCTGCTTTGCCCTCTGCCTGTGTCTCCACCTCTCCTCTCCTCCTCTCCTCTCTCTCTCTCTCTCTCTCTCTCTCTCTCTCCTTCTCTCTCTCATGAATAAATAAATAGAATCTTAAAAAAATAAAGTGAGAAATAGAAAATTACCCAATAGTAGTAGGAGATGTATTAATATCTGACAGAACAAGTCAACAAAAGCCCAGCAAGCATATGGCCAATCAAAACAACATTTATAAACCTGAGTTAATAGACACACACAGATCTCTACCCCCAGGGATAAGAAAATGCATTTTTTTTCAATTGGACATAGGACATTTATCAAAAATACTCATATACTGGGCTTTAAAGCAAGCTTAGCAAATTTCAAAGTAATGTTGTATTCAGACTAAGTTTTCTGTTCACAGTGGAATCAAGCTATAAATCAATAACAAAAAAGCAAATTCTCAGCTCTTCAGAAAATAAGGTTATTTCCAAATAAGCCAGGGATCAAAAGAATCACACTGGAAATTAGAAAATATTTTGAACTAAATAATAAAAATACACCTTATTAAAACAGGTGTGATAAACTTAAATCTGTTTAGAGGAGAAATAACCTTAATTAAATACACTAAAGAAAGAAATCCTCAAAACCCAATAACCTATGTTTTTATCTCAAGAAGATAAGGAAAGAAGAGTAAATTAACCCTACATTAAGTTAAAATAAGGAAATAATAGAAACAAGACACATTAGTAGAATCAAAACCAAATATACAACAGAAAAAATGAATAAAATCAAGTTTAGTTTTGTGAAAAGACTAGTTAGATTTATAGAATTCTATTAAGACTTTCAATTAAAAAATACTATCAGGAATAATAAAAGAGGTACCATAGTAGATTTTAGAAATAGGAAGAGGAGGAGGAGGCAAAGGAAGAGGAGGAGGGCAGGGAATAATTATAATCACATTTACGAAAATAAATTTGAAAATGTAACTAAAATTGGTAAATTTCTAGGAAAAAAAAAACACAATTTACCCAAATTAACACCAAGAGAAATTCTCTAATTGCAAACCATTTAACTATTAATAAAGTTGAATATGAATGCTATAAACTATTCACAAGACATTTCTAAGGTAAATAGTTTCTCTGGTGAATTTGTACAAATGTAAAAGAAAAAGCATGAAACTTACTGACACATATTCTTTCAGAAAACATTAAGCAAAAAGAATCAGTTCCTAAACAGCTTCAAGAGGCCAGCATAATTTGCTTCCAAAATCTTACAAAGATGATATGATAAAGAAAATTATACATTCTTATGCATGCATGCACACAGTAATGCCTCATGCAAGTTTAGGTTTATTCTGAGACTGTATATGTTGTTTAACCTTTGAAAATCAATTAATTTTTGTATCATACTGAGTAAAGAGAAAAATGACAAACCAATCTCAATAGAAATATTTGAGAAAATTCAACACCTACTGATGACAATAACAACAAAATCCTCCTACTAATCTATAATTACACAGTAAATTCCATCATCTGATAAACAGTATCTAAAAAAGAACCTGTAGCAAATATACTTGATGGTAAAATCCAAAAAGCTTCCCCCAGAGACTGAGAGTCAGAAAAGAAAGCCTGCTACCATCACTCTTGAAGCTACTTGAATGTGATAAGGCCAAAGAAAACAATTTAAAGCATAAGGAATGGAAGGTGATATCACAACGTCTATTTACATTTGACACAATTGTTTATGTAACTTTCAAAATATACAAAATATTAAAA